TTAATAATATTTTTTAAAAATATTTAATTTTATTCTATTTCCAATAAATTAAATTTATTCTTAATAAATTATTACGTTATTATTTAATTCAATGTTCCGAACAGCTATTAAATTATTTTATTTAAGTAACTGAAATTTATTTTAAATAAAGTTATTATTTTATTTAATGGTTATTTAATTTTAATGTCCGAATAATAAAATTATTAATTTATTTTAATTAAAGGATTGAAATTTATTTTTTTAACAAAATATTATTTTTATTTAATTATTTTTTTTGTTTGGTTAGAATATAATTTATTTTAGAATATTTATTTTATTTATTATTTAACTAGCTGATCCCGTGCACTTCGTCGCCCGTTAAATGGATCAACTCAATACTACCTACTCAAACTTTGTTCAATTCATTAACGTGTATGGTGTTCAAAATTTATCTTATCTTTCCCGTTGCCCAGAATAAAAATTCTGAATCGCAGCAGTACATTATCAGGTAGGCAATCTACCTGCGGTAGATCGCGGACCCCGTGCTGTTTGTACGGAAGTGTATGATTTAACTCTAAAGTATCAAAGTTATACCAAGTTTATTTTGATGTAATACTGTGGATTAATATAATAAATTTGGTTGCTCGTAAAAAATCGCAACTCTTAAAAAAATTATGATTGTTGAACTCCTTTTGGGTGTAATTTTCTGCGGTAAGTGCAACTCTGCCACCCTGGTAAGCATTGTTCAATAATTCGATTTGATGCAAGCTCGTACCTGATCTGCCCGAATAACCAATGGCAACCAATAAATAAATGATAATTTCTAATGTAGACTGTAACCAATGGCAACTATAAATAAATAAAAATAAAATTTCCAATTTCTATCGTGAATCTCAATGTCCCTGTTTCAGCACCTATTTAAAATGCGAATTTTGGCAAATCCTTTCTTAGCGCACGTCTATATTATAATAGCTATCCGTATGCCAAATTTCAGCCAGATCCGTCCAATGGTTTGAGCTGTGCGTTGATAGCAGTCAATCAGCTTACTGTTTTTTATGTACAGATATGGTTGCCATGGCAATATGGACACACACACACACACACACACACTGACATATATTCATTTTTATATATATAGATTGATATGAAATCTTGGTAACCTTAGTAACCATGGCAACCTTGGTAACCATGGTAACATGGACACACAGACACACAGACACACTGACACACTGACATACATTCATTTTTATATATATAGATTAAATTAAGTCAAGTTCGAATAATTATTTTTTTTTTTTATTTAAATGGAAATTGTTTAAAGAGAAAAATTAAAAACAAATTTATTGTTTTAGCTAACTATAATTTAATTTAAGTTTTAAATAATTGTTAAATTTTTTTAATTAAAATGTTTAGGAAAAATTAAAATTATTTTATTATTTTATTTTATTTAAATGATTGGAAATTATTTTAAATAGAACGATTATTTAATTTAATTTAAATGAAAATTATTTTAAAATAAAATTTTATTTATTTTATTTAAATGATTAAAATGACTAAAATTGTTATTTTATTTATTTAATGATTGTAGAATTATTTTTAAATTAAATTATATTTCCTATTTTATTCGAATGATTGAAATTTATTTTAGAATTTAATTATTTTTTTAACTTATTTAAATGATTGAAAAATTTCTACGAAATTAAATTATTATTTATTATATTTAAAAATTTGCTAACTCGCGACGTTATTGTAAAAATAAAATTATTACTCTATTCAATGTTATTTAATTTTAAAAAATAAATTTCAAACAACTATTAAATTATTTTATTTAAATATTATTTAATTAAAAGTGTTAAAGATTTTTTTTTTAAGTTACAATATATTATTATTTTTTATTATTATTTAATTAGACAATAAAATAGATATTTTAAATTAAAACTTCAGTTTATTTAATTATTATTTTATTATTTTAAATCTAAGGTTGAACAATTTTATTTTATTTTAAAAAAATTTTTAAAGTTCCTCACAATTTATTTTATTTAACACGAAAAATTCAAAGTTCTCAATAATTCTCTTATTTAATTTAACACGAATAATTTTTTCACTTATATAATATATACTATGGTCATATAATATACCATAGGAGACGAACAACGATTTAATTACTCTAAATACTCACAACCACATGGCGGGTACTGCGGGTGCTTCCATTTGCTCGGTTGAAATGTTGATTGTAGTAGGGTGTTATGTAGTTGTACAGGATTCTTCTCGGAGTTGTTGGCGGGTGATCAGTCTTCCAACGGTGATCCAGTGATGGATTTCCCTCCTTGATCGAATTTAGAAGATGAAAATTTTTCGAAAATTTCGAAAAAAAAAATTTTTAAAGTGTTCTTCGGGTTTCTTCTAAGTATCTTTTGAGACTCCCTGTCCACAGCGCCAATTTGTAACGTGCCCTACAGCGTTACTTGTTGATTTGGAAGCAATAATTGAACAAAACCTCTTTTGATAGTATTTATTGTGTTTATTATATAAAACAGTTTTATAGAAAATTATTCTAAGTCCAAATAATAAACTAAAAGCGAGTTGTGACTATGAGTATTTAGTGTGACTGTTGAAGTTGAGGTTGGTTGTTCGTCTGATGGACGCTTGTCCATCAGCTCTCCTCGATGGATCTCTGTCCCTTGCCACTTCCATACTTTCTAAGACCATATATGGTCCTTCCTTTATTCTAAAACCATACATGGTCTTGCGGTTAAGCCTTTTGTGAATTTCACACGCTTGCACGCGCCGGAAGTCCACATATATCTATATAGCACATTTGTGGTGTTATTCAACAATAATTAATAAATAATTAATAACAGCACAAATCTAACTATATTATTTTAGGATTATCCATATACGTAGTCATATATCTATTGTCGCACGCCGCTCATGGTCACGCGCTCGATATTACTATTATTGATATTATATTATTACTATTCGAAGAAGCGCTCGAGTATAATATTTATATATACGCGGTGCGAATATTATATGATTACGTATGCATTAAATGTGTTTAACCCATATGGCTAAATAGTCACAGCTCGCTACAAACCCGCCAAACCATCAGTACATAGGAATCTCCAAGTATTAATCTGTCTTCCCAATCAGAAAAGATACTGTTGAAGAAAATCCAAGAACTTTTACTCATAGGCCCAATTTGGGTTAGATTTAAGTTGACCAAAGTGACTCCTTGCTTGTCAAATGCTTGTCCTAAGCCAATTCTTTATACGGTGCATCGACGAAAAAGACCTTTCCCAAGTACCTAACCGAGGGTATAGGATTCGTTAATCCTACATTCCTACTTGAATAAGTTTAAACAAATTCTTATACCAGGGGGGAGTGGAGACTTTTGGGCGGCAGGCCGTTTTTATCAGTTGTAATTCAAGATAAGAAATATATTAATGTAATGTTGTTTTTAAGGTTTTCTAATCACTATCTAAAATTGATAAAAACTACCTCAATTAAAATGGCGGCTGATTTTTTGTTTGGCCCTATCCTACTGTGTAATTTGTTATCAGTGTCCATTCTGATTATTTTATTCTGCGCTTATACCCAAAGCTAGAAAACTATGAGAAATTTGTAGAAAACCTCAAGAAAACCTCAAGACTACATATTTAACGGGGATGTAGAGAACAGTGTTTTAGTGGAATGATGGAAGAAACCTGCGGAATAAATAAGAAATATGGAAAATCATTCACTATAGACCCATTTAGTAACGCAACAGTAACGCTAGGAGAAACCCTGATTAACCACCTATGTAACGATAGAAATGACAGGTGGCATGAACTCGTTGAGAATACAGACATGACCAAAAACAGCAAAAAACTATGGCGATTCATCAAGAGGCTAAATGGGGACCCGGTTCCACACACTAAGGGTATAAACGTAACAGCTAATCAAGTAGCCACACAGCCAGGGGCAAACATCAAACAGTAAACCAGGGGCAAACATCAAAATAGAAAAACTCATTAGAACCTTAGACACTGAGCAAAATAATTTCCAGCTTGACTTTACTCTTGATGAACTAAATGAGAGCCCGAAGGAGATGAAAAACGGAAAGGCACCTGAAGTGGACGAAATAATGACAGAAAAATTAAAAGAATTCAGCATTAAATCTAAACAATGGTTACTAACTTTTCTAAACTCATGCCGCGACAAGGCCTCAGTACTCAAAATAAAGTGAAAGCGTTGCGATTCAATTTTATTTTATGTTCTACATAAGTTGATATTAATATAAATATAAATATTGGTTGAACGATATCCCGTAAATATATTTTATGAGCGTTTGAAGTTCAAATTTGTATAAAACTCATCACAATTAGATTATATTATATTATATTGTATTTACATTATTAGTTTTGCGTGTAATGCAGGTTAATAAAACTTTCGTTTTTTAGATATCTTGCAAGTGGATGCACTTTCACAGATATTCACTATACATATAGAATTGGTATTTCAACAGCAAGCATGATAGGGAAAGAAGTATGCAATGCCATTTGGTCAGTAATGAAATCGGAATTTCTACCCACACCTTCAAAAGAAAACTGGGAAACAATCGCATTAGATTTTGAAAGAAATGCTAATTTCCCCCATTGCAAGGAGCAGTAGGTGGAAAGCACATTCGGATAATTTGCCCATGTGGCAGTGGGTCCATGTATTATAACTACAAGCAATACAATTCCCTGGTATTGATGGCAATAGCTTCCACAATACTTCCCCCCACCGGTCACACCTCTTACCGTTTCCAACACCACCCGGCACCTCGGCGTCCGTAGTGACGACGAATTGCCGAGCGGCGTCCACGCTCTCTCCGTTCTCGACCTGCCGATACGCAGCACCTTTTGCGCTCTAGCTCGCTCACGCTCTTCGCACCACAAAAAATGTTTTATTTGTGACTCATCCTCCACCATAGACGGTCAACGCGACCTCGGCCAGAGGCTTCGAGTGCGATTCGTTTTTATGTCAAACCGTGGTAGCCGTTGGAGTTCAACACGAACGTCCTATTTTCAATCTCCACTGTCGAGACGCACCCCGTGCCCGTAGACCCAAGAACAAACTGGAGAGAAATAGCTGAAAACAGAATAAGGTGGAATGAAATTTGTTTTACGGGATGGTCTTAAAGGCCGGACCCCCCCCCCCCCAAAAAAAAATATAACAATACTACAAATAATTTGTAATTGCGTACGCTATACAACGGCATACTTCATGTTATCTAATCATGTTCGACTCTATACTCTGTTCAAGTTAAGAGTGCCCAGTCGCTCGGACGAAAACTGGTTCTGTTCGGGCATGCATGGCTAGCGCTCTGGTGTGTTGACGCACAACCATCTGTATATAGACGGCGGCATGCCTAAGATCCGACAGTCGACGACGGCGGTCGACAATGCTGACTAATCACAGCGCGTCTGCTGACGCCTGGGGGATCTGACAGCTGTCGGTGGCTCAGTATGCATGCGCGATTTTTGGCACTCTTAACCTGAACAGAGTATAACATGTTGGTGCGGTAAACGTTTTGATGTTTTTCGGAGGTTCAGACTTCAGATCATAGATAAAACAAGCCCCGAATAAGCTGATCGAGTGTCGCTTCTAAAAATATTGATTACAATATCGAGATTTCCCATCGACATATATTTGAGGAATTTATGTTAAATTGCTCAAGTTACTTTCACAAGAAAATAGAATAAAATTCTAAATATTATCGTTGCTAAGTAAAAATTGTTCACCTTCGTTTGTTTTGATATCAATAGATCTTGAAATGTCATGTAGGTACTTTTATATTGGTTGGTTTAGCTCAAAGGATTTGTATACCGGCCTCATAAACTCCTTTTCGAAAACAATTCACATCTGTTGTAAAAATATTCTCAACTGCTATTATTATAATAAATTGAATAGAAATATGTTGTCACTAAAAATACGTATATATGCGAAATTATAAATTATGGAGTTACCACTTTCTTTTAAACCACAATGGATTCCTTTTGACGGTCGCTCATAAGTATTTTCATTAATCAAAAAGGCCCTTTTTAGGTCCAACTCCACCAGCAATTAATTTGATAACACAAAATATCGAAGGCTTTTTTGTGACTAAAGGTGAGCTT